TTGGTATCCTTTCTGTAGAGAAAAACTCCTCTTCACATTTCTTTTTATATTTATATACTTTTTACAGTCAAACCTCTATATACTAATGTAAATATTTCAGTCAAATATATTTATATAATAAGATATTAGTATACATTATAAACTAATTTTTATAGTAAAGTTATGAATAAATTAGTATATAAAAATTTATAATCCAATTTTATTAAAAGTTACGTGTTCATAAACCATGTCATAAAATTAAAATTTAACTTTATTTTAAGTTTTGAATAATAAAATTATCCAAATTATCCTGCAATTTAGTTTTTAAATGATACCTAAAAATTGACTGTTTAAGACTGTTGATCATGGATACACTTTTTTCTTTGATTTTGAAGTCATTTAGAGGATTTTGCAAAAAAACAAGTATATATTCCAGAGACTTCAATACCTTAATTGGTAAAATACTAGAAAGTTCTTTCTTATCAGGATCATACTCATCTTTAGTTTTTGATAACCAGATACTTGCAATAATATCATCATCAGTTAGCTCAACATTATCATCAATTAGTATCTAATCAATACTAATATATTCATCAGCTATTATTGATTCATCAAATAATAATCTGCAAATTAATTATTAAATATCTTTATATTCGTATTTAGAATTTGAGATTAAATATATATTGACAGTATTATAATTATCAGATACCTCATGCAAAGGAGATAAAATTTCTATTTTTTTCTAATAATTTTTGATCATTTCTTGTGTGATTGCCCTCCATGCATAATCAATAAAAGTGATAGCATTTATAATAGTCATAGGTGAGATTATATCAAAATTAAATTCTTATATAAAATCGTATATTTCAATCTGATTTTTGATTAATAATCTTCAATATTATGTCTGATACAAAAAATTTATTAATGTACAAATATAAATCAATCTTATTCAAAGTTCAAATTATCTTAAAAGAATTAATAATTTCTATATTACAAGACTATAAATAGGCCATTATATTTGGTGATAAGAAATAAACTTTTATATTTATAAGTGAGTCAGAATTTTCAATAGCATGGGTAGATACATTATCAAACAATAAGAGGATTTTTTTTTGATGATATATATGGGTATTCAATCTTTTGAGATAATCATTTCAAATAGAAACTTGTATCCAAGCAGTACAATTCTAATAATATTGTACTGATAATATTGACTTGTCATATCCATTTAGAGTCCAGAGGTTTTGATATTTGTGAATAAATAATAGTTGTAATTTTTCCATTCCAGTTGTATTACAAGTTAATAAAATTATTACTTGGTTTTTAGATTGTTTTGTTCCTAATATTACACTTATAGAAAGAGTTTTCTTTGGTTCAAGTTGCCAATATAATCCTAAATATTAAATAATTTAATTTTAATTTAGGAATAATTTAAATTATTTAATAATAAACTAATATTACCAGTTTCATCACAATTAAAAACATCTTTCAAGTTATAATTTTGAATTAATTAATATAATTTTTCATATTCATCATCTAATATAGCTAGTAATATACTATTGGTTTCATTTAATCGATTATATTCTTGGATATGATATCTTTTCTTAAAGCCTTCAAGCCATCCAGCTAATGCTTTAAAATTATCATCACTAATATCAAAAGCATTAGTAAAATCACATGCTTTTTGCTGAAGTATTTCTCCTATTATTACAATATTTTTAGGTAAAGCTTATATAAACCAAATTGCAAGTATTGTATCAATTTTAGAAAAATGACACTCTCAGATTTGTTTTTTCTTTGTGATATAAGAATTTTTGTTATACTAAGTCATTTATTACTTTTTTTGATAATATCTGATATGGTATTGGCTTTATATCCATATTCAAGATCAAGTTAATGTTGAGTTAGATGTGGAATTTCTTGTTACTTAAGATAAATTTCTTTTTTCTGAGAAATTATCAAGCATATTCTCTTTTTTTGAAAAAATTCTGCTTCTTTTCCTTTTTGTTTATTCATAGAGAAAAAAAAACTTTATATCACAAAATTTGAAAGTGATCAACAACAATTTTTTATATAAAAAATTTATATTATTATCCAAAAAATCTATATATAAGTACTAATAAATTATCATTATAGTAAAAATATCAGTTAATCAAAATGTTATTTTATATTAATAGGATAACCAC